TCAGTTTATACCCTCTCCCAACCCAGGTTCTCATTTGTAAGCTAATTTAACGATTAGTGAACAAACTTGTAACAGTATACAAAATTTAAAATTAATCAAATAAAAAATTTATTAACAAGTTTAATATTTATTAATTAAAATATGAGCTTTTTCTATTAAAAAATACATTTTTTATATAAAATTAGAATTATATTAATTATATTAATATCAAATTTATTATAATTATAAAATTATTATAATTATAAAATAATAATTTAATATAAATATTAAAATTTATTAAAAAGATAAATATTATATATTAATTAAATATTAAATTATACAAAAACAAATTTAATATTAAAAATTACAAATATTAAAAAATATAAAAAATTATTGAAAATATATTAGAAAATTAAAATAAAAATTAAAAAAAATAATAAATTTTATATAATAATTAATTCTTTTTAAATATAATTTTTGAAAATTAGTTTAAATTATATATTTAAAGGAAGTTATAATTAGAAATTAATTAATAATATTTATTTATAAAATTTATTTATAAAATATACTTATTTATCTTATATATTTTTTTATTTTTATATATTTAATATCTCAAAATTTTATTAAGAAAATCAATTTTTGATTATTAAGTAAAAATATATTAGAATAAAATTTTAGATATATTTGTATAATATAAATAAAATTTGAAAGTTATTTTTTATATTATTGTGATTTAATATTTTATATAAATAAAAATTATTATATATAATCATTTCAAATAATTATTTATAATAAATAATAATTTCAAATAATTATTTCAAATAATCACTTCTTATTTATTAATTATTTATAAATATTATATGTTTTAACTTAAAAAAATAATAAATTAAATTTATTATTTGTTTCTATTTCTTTTAATAATTTTTTAAATAGTATTTTTATATAATTACTTGTCTTAATTATAAAGTTATAATTCTTGTAATTGATCTCTTATCTTAATTGTAAAATCATAATTATATAATTAAATTAATAAATAAGTAATGATATTTTATTTATTTATAAATTAAATTTAAAAAACACAATTATCTTTGAATATTTTTGGTTTTATTTGAGCTGATCACAAAATGAATATATATTATTTATCTTTAATAAATTAATAATCTTTTTCACTTCAAAGTTATTTCATATAACTTTTTTATTTAATTTAATTTTATGTATTATTCATATATCTTCTTATAATAAAACTTAAAATTATATAAAATAGTAATAAAATTTGATGATCTCTTTATAAAAAGAAATTTTCAAAAATATTAACAAAACAAATAACTATTAATAAAAAAATTCTCAAATTATATAATATGAACTTTTTTATTTTTCTTCAAACTTATTATGGTATCAGTATTGAGTTTCCATATGTTTTATGAGAACTTTATCACTGATTTGAAAAGATTTTTGAGTTTTATTTTTATTATAATATTCTTTTTGTTTGACTTGAGACTTTTGAATATTTTGGAGTGCTAATTTATGATTAATTTATAATTTATTAATTATAAAATATGTGCAATAAACAATTTTAGTTTTTATAATTAAGTTTAATTGATCCACTAATTGTAATTTGATATTAATAAATATTATTACTTGTTGATTATAGATTAGATAAAATGGTTCAAATTGAGTTATATTTTGTTTTATAGTTTTATACATGAATAATATTAATAATAAAAAATGATTCCAGTTTTGTTTATAAAGCTGAATATATTTGGTGAGAAAAGTACATGATGTTTAATTTAATCTTTCAACTAGATCATTAATTTGCGAGTAGTATAGTACTGACAAATAATATTTTATTTGATATTTTTTTATAAGTTCTTTTATGACTTTATTTACAAAAGTTATTTCATGATCTGAGCTAATTTTTTTTGAAAAATCATGATGATATATTATGTCTTTGTATAAAAATGATAAGATTGTAGCAGCAACTATATTTGGTAGAGTATGAGCTTCAATCCATTTTGTAAAATAGTTGATTGTGATGACAATATAATAATTATTATTTTTAGTTACTGGTAGTGATTCAGATTTATATATTTTTTAACTTGTAATCTAAACTTTTGAACATATCTATGTATAAAATAATGGACAATCCACAATCTACAATCGATTCGTTGAGAGAATTAAATTCTGATCTTGTTCACCAGATTGCTGAACTATTGAGGATGAGGATAAAATAAAAGGTATAAACGTAACATTTTCTGATGATGATGAAGATGCAGGTTGTTACTACGATTTAAATAGCGGTAAAGCTTACAAAAAATCGGGTAATTTAACCAGCGCATATTAACTTTAGCGGAGCTAGTTCCACCAATAAATGTTATATAATACAATAAAAATGGAATTGTATAAATTAGGTCGCTTCGCAGGAACTTTATTTAATGCATATTTTTCTGATATATTAGAAAATCTATGTGCCCGACCAAAAATAATGCTAGCCGATTCAATATTATGTAATGCATAATTTCACATGGGGTTGCTTCTGGGCTCCATATCACATTATTTTATTTATTAAAGTATACATGTCTATCGGACAAATTTTATTAATTTCAGAAACTGTCTGGGCGCAGTAATGTGGCGCGGTGAATTGCATGTTTAATTGCCTAGAATTTTATCAACTTTACTGCAGTATATTAAAAAATTTTACAAGAATAGCATAAGTAATAAGCGAAAAATAATTACAAGTTTCTATGCCAATAATTATTCTATTCTATTCTCTAATTTGAATCAAATGAATCAAAGCAAAATGTGAGAAATCATATGAAGGCCTTTTCGGAAATAAAAATTCTTCAATATATTCATTGGTATCTTTGTTTTTGCATTCATTCGTTCTTTGCTAATTTGATTCATTCTGCAGAGTTGTCCAAGAGAAACAGTATGGATATTCTTGACTTTATTATAGATAGGAGGATCAGCCATAGCGGATTTGTATGCTCTTCCAGCAAATGGTCCAAAATAGCTCGTAAAGGCATTTCTGTCTACAATCCCAGACCGTTTCGGAATTTCAATATTACAATTTGAAGTCGTAAAGAGGATGAAAAAATCATTTTCTGATGCAGATTTTTCACGCTCTTCTTGGTATTCCTTTTTACTGACTGCTTTTTTTCGCAAGTTGGATTGGTGGATTTCATTTGGACTTTTAGTACCTAGCTGATCTAATGAAAGGAAAGAATCGCCATATGGTGAAGCTGGGGCATTAATGATACAATGTTTGAATTCCCGGACATCAACGGTAGAATTATAGCAATCAACATTCCATTCGCTTGCAGTGTGACCTTTAGATTTTGTGTCTGTATGGTGTTTTGCAATTTCAAGTCGTAGATTGTGGTTTTTAAATTGGATATCACCATTCAAACGTGCTCCCGCGTGAACCTCTGAGATCTTTGTTAGTTCATCTTCTTCAATCACAGCTGACTTTATACAACGAAATGACGCGACAAATTTTTCAAAACCCTGCCATGACTTCGCTTGCAATGAGGTTACTGGATTCAAGAGTACTCTTTGCTCCCCATAATCAGCAAATTCCCAATCTCGAAGTAATGGATCTCCCTCTTCATTGGATATCTCCACAAATATCCAGAGCCAGATGTACGGTGCGGTGAGATATCCCCTTCGATTATCACTTAATTGTTCAAATCGAATTAACCCACTCCCAACAAATTCATCTGGTGTTTTGTTAGTTTTAGGAATAGGATAATATCTATTTAAAATACGCCGAGTCAATATTGCTCTTGCAATAGGCCTGGCATCTTCCAATGAATCAAGAATAGTACCACCATATTTTTCAATTAGGTTTTTACGCAGATCATTCATCAAAGTATTGACGTTGCATTCTTCAACACTACGACCAGCCAAGCAATCATTTAAAACTTCTAAAGCCCTTCCATGCCCTCCACAGTCTTCTACAAGAATATTGGTAATCTCGTCATTTTTAAAAACCGGAATCAAATTATCTCCTTGATGGTAGTTTGGAGGTTTTAGAGAAGTGACTGGTAAATATATACGTTTCCGTGTCGAATATCTTAGCGTATTATCAATCGGCCCAGCAATAGTTGAGGTGCAAACAGGTATCACGAAAGTGCCACTAAATACAAGATTTGCAACAGATGTCAGTGTCGCATAAAACTCAGAATTTAAATCTAAACCATCATCTTTTTTCTTCATAAGTTGTTGCATGCCATCAACAACCAAAATGACTGTAATGTTTTTCTTGTTTTGGTTATAGTATTTGGAAATCAATGACACAACATCCAACGGATCTGGTGGCTCGTATGTCTTGATAATTTCACGAAACTCCATTTTCTCTCTAAGAAGTTGAAATAGCATACGAGTTCCAATGGCAAGATAAGAGTCAGATTCATTTTTTATTTGCAAGTTGAAACCATTCTCAAAGCTGACAAGGAATACCCAAGCTTCTTTAACTCTAATCAAAAGCTCTTCATCTTCTTGAGCTGACAAACATGTGATTGCCGTCTGGTGGAATTCGTTAGCGTTTCGTGATTTTCCAGTACCAGCTCCAGAAAGGAAGAGGTATAGTGGAAGATTCAATTTGTCAAAACGACCTGAAGTAAAATTTTTATAATGATCTTTAAGCTCTTTTCTCAAGATACCCTTCAAAGATGGGTGAGGTTGATATTCCCAATCAGCGCCAGAAGTGTAAAGCAAGGGTTTTGGTTTTATATATGGCAAGCCTAGTATATAATAGTATGTCCAATCAGTCTCAACATAAGAATGGCGAGTTTTTTTGCGGAAATTGCTTAATACATACCTTCAGGAAAGGCATCAGTAATTCTTTTCCTAACTTCTATGTGAATTGTGTTTTTAGGGTTTCTGAGGATAAGGAACAGTAAAGAAAAAAAAGCACAAAATTATGTATTCGATGTTACATAATAAAGACGAAAAAATGGCTAACACGTTCACTCGTGTTGCCTAAATTTATTACAACTCACTTACCAGTGGCAATGAGTTGTTCTACGATAACGTGAATGCGTTTTTTTGGGCGGGTTCGACGATAAGCAGGAAAGAAAAAGCACAAGTTTAAGTAAGTATTCGGATATGGCACGGTGTGAGTGAAACTGAAATTTATTTACCTCCTTTAATTTCCTTGGCGAAGTCTGCAAGTCTTGTCGCAGGTCCACCCTTCATACCATAATCTCTAAACTTTTGCTCGGTCGTACTGAGAAAATCACGACCGGCGATCTCTTCATTACGTATAATTTCAAAATGAGTATCATTAAGCTGTAGGTCCTCTTGATCACGCAAAAATTGGATAAGTTGCTCAGTATTGTATTTCCGAACCACCTCAACTAAGATAGGAGCGGGTTTTTCTTCATTTGCTGTAGAAGCAGAAGCTGGACTACTTTGTTCAAACATGGTGCTTTTATAGGATATACAAAAAATGCGGTAAAATTTCCGGGTAGTTGCTAGTAAAAATTTTTTTTGGTTGTTATTTTGGTATATGTGAAAAATTCCTCTGTCGTACAACTGCCATAAAAAATCTATGTTACTCAAGCACAGCAGAAAGGTAAAGTTACACAAATTCGTATTACTACGGAATAATTGTTATTAAAAAGCAAGAGATGACGTGTACAAGAAAAAATAAAATGATAGCACATTTGTGTTGATCGCATAAACAATCGCGTTTACTTTTACATGTATATTTCAGGATTTGTTATGTTGTATTAGGGCTATCGGGGAAACCTTTTGGGGAACGGAAAAGTGTTTCGTCATTTGCCAAAGGATTTTTACTATTTCGCGTAAAGGAAAACCTTTGTCAAAACTGAGAAATCTCGTTAAAACGGGAAAATATGTAAATGTCAAAACGTGAAATTATGTAAATATGTAAAAACTATGTCAAATGCTGAAACCAATGTACTAATTTCTGCTCGTTTTACACGAATTCATCAGGGTGACACCCAAAAGTTCGGGCCACGTGATATTATCGATCAGCACCGAATCTTTCGAGCTACTATATCGGGATGCTAATTTTAACTTTAGATCATGTGATTGTACACAACCAATAGTATATGAGAATTATTAATAAATGACTTTATTATATTGTTACATTTATAATACCATTTCTTAATTTTTGTAGTCATTCTTCTGTTATTATTATTCAATATTTTTTTTACAAATAGCAATTCTCAATATTGAAATAAAATAAAAATAAAAGTTCAAGTTTATTAAATAATTAATTTTATTTTTGTACTCCTATTTTTTTTTATATTGTTGTATAATAAAACTTTGATTGAATATTTTACTGGATCATTTATGAACAAGTGAATGAATAAATGAATAAACAAATATTGGACCAATAGAATTTAAGTGAACTAGTAAATATGAATTCATATAGTTAATGAATTATAGTTTGAATTTGTATGAAAGCAACATGTATTATAGTTATTAGAATTAGATTAGAACAAGTCTTTTGATAGTAATATTCTTAATTATTATCTTATAATTAGTTATCACGTAGTAGGGTTCCAAAAAAAAATCTGGTTCAGTTTGAGTCTAATTTGATTTGAGCTTGAATCTGACTTGAATCTGACAAAAAGTCCAGTTTAAAAATTCAAACCTAATTAAAAGTCTGATTCAAGTTTGGTTCAAATTTTGAACTTGACTCGAATCTGACCAAAAGTTCAGTTCAAGTAATTGTTAGTTAATATTCTAAGTAAAATTATAAATCATAACATGAATTACAAATTGATATAAAATAGTGTTACCATTTTGATGGGGCTTTCGAAATACTCAAAGGTATTTATAAAATTTAAGGAATATTCAAAGGAAAACTTCCAATGTCTTAATGACAA